ACGAATCCAAATCCAGATACTAAAATCACGGATCCGACGAATCCGGATCCGGATACTTCAAATTTCCCGGATATCCAGATTTGTTACACCCTTACTTTAAACTTTCAAAGTGACATTTGCATCACAATTTTTTGTTAACCTAACTTACTTATCTGTCAAGTAAAAAAAACAACTTGTTTGTACATGTAAATATGATGATGTGTCTTTTTTTAAAAAAATAATTATTTAATTAATTACATAATTAAAAATTAAAACACTAAATTAAAATTCAGATAACTAAATAAAATTTCAAACAATTAAATAAAAAAAACTCAGAAAATTAAATAAATTTTCAAAAATAAATTATATTAAATTATATTATATTAAATTAAAATGAATAAAATTAAATAAAAAAGTCAAAATATTAATTAAAATATAATTATTAAAAAAAAAGAAAATCAGAAAATTAAACAAAAACTAAAGAAAAATTAAAAGAAAATCATAATATTATCTTTTAAATTACAAAATAAGATTATTTTAAAATAATAAACATATCATCGTTGACAATAACAATTTCAAACATATCACTGGTGACGATGTTGATTTCTCACACACCCATTAACAATGACGTTTTTGACATATATCAAACGCTGGTTTCATCGTTAACATATCTCTAACGATAATTTCCGACATCATCGTTAAAAACCTTGACAATATCTACTATTTAAAAAACCTTGACATATCTTCACTGTTTTAAATTATGGTTTTCGAAAACATCGTTATTGACATTCTACCATCACTTCTAACGATGATATCGGAAACTATCGTTAGAGATATGTCAAAACGTCATTTTAATGGTTATGTGAAAAATCACCATCATCATCAGTGATATATTTGGCATTGTTATTGTCAACAATGATAAGCTGTTTTAAAAAAAATCTTTTAATTTAAAAACAAATATTTTGAATATTCCATTTTTTGAATTTTGTGCTTTTTAATTTTGTTTAGTTTCTGAATTTGTTTAATTTTCTGAATTTTCATTTGATTTTCTATATTTTAATTTAATAATTTATTTCTCGAATTTTCTTTAATTTTCTAATTTTTTGTTTTATTTTATATTTTTATTTAGTTATCTGAATTATTTTAGCTTTCTGATTTTATATTAATTTCTGATTTTGATTTATTATATTAATTAAATAATTATTATATTTGGAAAAAAACGGACATGTCATCACTTTTTCATGTTATACATGGCAAGTTTTTACTTGATGACAAAGTAAGTCAAGTTGAAATTTTATTGTGATACAAATGTTACTTTGAAGGTTCAAAGTGTTAGTCGAATAATTTCAAAGCTTAAAGTGTCAGTATGTACCACTTTTGGGGGTTTTATGTGATTTTCCCTTTAAACTTTTAAACATATCGGAGAAAATTTCTGAGATGATATCATGCCACGTTCGAATATGACGATGTGTATTTTTATGTATGTGTTGTATATAGAACCAAGGTTCGTATGGGTTGAGAAGAATAAAAATTCACTATTAACGACATAATTAACCTTGGTCTCTTAATATAGATTCTTAAGTCATAATTTAATCTTTTTTTTCTTAAGAGACAGTTCTTGTATCTCTTATTTTAAGAGATTGTTTTTAACTTTTCTTAATATATAACTTTTGAACACATAACTTTTTTAACTAATTTTTTTAAAAAAAGTTAAGTGTCGTCCCTTAACTGAAACTAAAAACACTTCCAATAGAGGTTCTTCTCATTGAAATTCTAAACTTGTCATATATATGTCATGTAGTTATAGGATCTTCATTGGAAATACTCTAAGAACCCTAGTCTTAACTGGGGTTAATCATGGTATAATATGCGTGCTTCTTGTCTTTCATTCAAAAAAAAATATGCGTGCTTCTTTTGTGTTGACGCCATCATTTCATCGTACTCCATTTCAATGTAATCCTACTAAATAGATTGAAAACACATTTGTTCAGAAATAAAATGTTCAAAAGAAAAGATTGAAAACACACATCACTTCTCATCATTTACCAAAATGATAGTATGAGATAAAAGTTTCATTTCCGACCGTAACCTAGCAAAGAGCATGTGTTTACGAATCACGATTCTCCAACATAAAAAATGTATTCTCATTTACTACTCCATTATCATTTCTTAGACATAGCTATCAAAATCGCATCTTTCTTTACAATATTATATGCATATATACACATGTGCTGCTGCTGCGTGTATGCATAATTGAGTCTAAATATGTGTCTATATAATTATCCATGAAAATGATATGTCGTTGGTTACAAATAAGGTTATTATTTTAAATAACAACTAACAACTAAATACTCAGAAAAAACAAATGAAATCCTGTTATACGACTACACGACTGGAGTTGGTGGTAAAGACTAAAAAGAGGGCACATGCACATTGGACACGGACCAATGAATCCTCAGAAACAATCAGACATCTGAGACCCTAATCGCATCAAACCACGTGCAGTCCTTCCACTATTCTCCATTAAAAAAAACACAACGACCGAATATGAACCAACAATAAAAGAAAGTATTAGAAATTATAAACTGAAAGAGATTAAACTGAGAGGAAACTCAACTATTCAAGTGGCTACGATCAGTGTTGGAACTTGGAACAGTGGCTTCTGAGCCTTTGACCAAACCTCATGCACCATTCACTGCATTTATTAAGTTTATGTTCTATTGAAACCAACGCAAGTTGAAATAATTTTAAGAAGCCAAAAAAAAAGAAGCAATTTTATTTGCAACATTTAATAGAAGTCCATTCACTATTCCAATTTCATATGCATGCATTGAAGCTAATTCTTGATTCTATACCATGTATCTTTAACCCATCAGGTTCAAATTACAAATGTGTATGCATGCATTCAAGATAATTTTATTTTTATCAAAAAAAATATACAAATGTGTATAATGTACATGTTATATAGCATATTTTTTTCCAGCACACCAGAAGTATCATATTTGATTCATGTGAATCCATCAGAAATGATCAATGGCTTTCTTTGAAGGGCCAATGATATGAATTGTCTGGGAAATCTCGATAAGGACACTCATATATATTATCATACTAGTCTACATGAATTGGATTGGCCATAAACTATTTTTTTCATATAGACATTATCATATTAGAATATACTGATCTATAAAATGTGGCTTTGGCAAAAAAGAAAGAGTGGACATTGGATTGGCTATTACATATTTATTTTATACCACATAAACATTTAACAAAATTAGTCATTTTCATTTTCTATATTAATATTTTATTGTCAACATCCAAACAGATATTTTAAGATTTATATATATATATATATATATATATATATATATATATATATATCATTGTTAGTACAGAGGGTCAATTATGATTATGATTGATATGGATACAGGAATATTCGAATTCTTAACTTACATTTATACGATGAATCATCAACTACTAATCAAAATGCAACCTTTTTATGCCTTTCAGTGTAGTAATTAAGCTTTTACTTTCGTCACCACACTTTGATATATATAGCTTAAATTTTAGCCAAAAAAAAAAAGAAGCCAAATACTGTCAATTTTGCTCAGTAAACTAACCACACAAATTGCAAAATCAAATATCTGAAGACTAATCTGAAGACTATAACATATACTCCAAGGATATTTGTTTTGTTAGGTATTCACATCTTTTATCACTTTTACTTTTCTGTACAGAAAAGTATGATGACGATTCAAAGAACAATGAAGCATCTCATGATGATAAAATAAATATCAAACCAGATAGATATGCATCGTCATCTTAAAAAAACTACACCTCCTACGTTTTAAAAATTCATAAGAGTTTTAATATAACTTTGTGGATCTGGCCACTCTTTTTATACTATGGTCTATTCAAACAATGCATACTAATATATAGCTTCTCGTCGTCCCCTAAACTAAGTTCTCTAACATTTTTTGGCTTTATTTATAAAAACAAATTAGAGTTTGACCTGTACATCCGTAGGGTATTAGTATTTTTTATAAATGAATATTTATTTTTGATTGATTAAAGTTTCGAATAAAATTATATATTTAAATGTGTCACTATATAATTAATTGTATTTAGTTATTTGAATATCTATGGGTTCTTCTTAGTTCATGAGACAAATTTTAATTTAAAATTTAAAGTCTGATATTTGAAATAAACGATTCATATCCGAACAAATACTTTAATACTCATTTTTAATTGATTATGTAAATAGATTAAAAAACTTATTATTAATCGTTTTGAATTCTTGTTCTGAATGGAACAATTTCATTTAAATCTGTTGAATTGTTATGTTTAACATATAAAAAAACTTTATCCAGATTCTGTCGAATTTGGAAAATACAAGAAATGAAGTAGTATAATTATTTAAAAATATAATAAATGAATTGGTTAAAATTAATTTTAAAAATATATATATATGTAAGTAATGAGTTAAAAAGGTAAGAAGCTTTTTATACTTCTGTTTTAGTAGAGTATAGTATATCTAGCATCTAACAACGAGAAACATCTAATTAATAGCTATAGTTCATAAGTCGATCGATTTCAAATGGATTACACCATCAAACTTTGTTAGTACCAAAGAAAAACATATTTTTGAGCATATATAAAGCACACAACCAAAGAATTATAACTTTAAACATACAGAAAAAATGCTTTGTTTTCCTATTGCAATTTGATTTTTTTTTTTTTGATCAACCTATTCCAATTTGAATTAGCTCATAAACTAGTAGTACAAATAATTATCAGAATACCAACTATTCGAGTAAATTATCTCCTACAACGCACCCTAATACCTTTACCAAACACCACCCAATTAGTACCCGCCACTTCATTAATCAGGATTCAACATTCCAAATATACCCTTACAACACACGTGCCCTCTCCTGGTTTGGTAACAGGATCTGACTCTCTGAGTGCACCTTGTATTTATAAAACCCTTTCATCTCTTCCTCTTTAATCTCCACACTTCCCGCAACAGACCTTAACGCGGTCGCTGACGAACCACTGAGTTAACTCGCTCCTGAGACAAAAAGCTTTCGGTGAAGGCGACAAAATGGAGGAGACAGATCGTTCACGCGCTTTCGCCAAAGACGTTAAACGTATCGTCGTTAAGGTATTATTCTCATCATCTTTCTATCTCTATCCATGTCTCGTTGAGAAGCGTCTGCATTTTTTTTCAGATTTGATTATCAGATCAGAATATTCATTTACGGTAATTATTTTTTTTTTGTTGTTGGTAAATATATAAAAAGGTTGGAACAGCTGTTGTAACTGGGAAAGGTGGGAGATTGGCTCTTGGTCGCTTAGGAGCTCTCTGTGAACAGGTTTGTTTTTTTAATTTTATTTTTACTTAATTATCATCATTAACCTTTTTTTAATAAAAGGTTTCACGAAAGACATGTGAAAATATGTAATGTTGTTGTAATTGCACCTTTTAATTAAAATATGTAAAAAAAAATATTGTCAGCTTGCGGAATTGAACTCGGATGGATTTGAGGTGATTTTGGTTACGTCTGGTGCGGTTGGTCTTGGTCGTCAAAGGCTTCGTTACAGACAGATGATCAATAGCAGGTTAAGCACATAAAAAGTTGCTATTTTTAACCATTAATTTTCTCTCTTTAAATGTAATCAAAAAGGGTGATGTGTACATAATAACAAAGAGGTGTGTTTTTTTTTGTGTTTATAATTAAAAAAGTTTTGTTCTTTGTGGTGAAAGTTTGTTTCTTTTTATGGATTTGTAGTTTTGCGGATCTACAGAAGCCTCAGAGTGAGCTTGATGGGAAGGCTTGTGCTGGTGTTGGACAAAGCAGTCTCATGGCTTATTATGAGACTATGTTCGACCAGGTGAAAATGAAAAGAATATATTAGTCTTATTTTTCTAGATTTTTGTGTAAATTTACTGATATTGATGGCTCTGTTTCTTTTGATCAGCTGGATGTGACGGCTGCTCAGCTTCTGGTGAATGACAGCAGTTTCAGAGACAAGGATTTCAGGAAGCAACTTAGTGAAACTGTACAGTCAATGCTTGATTTGAGTGTTATTCCAATTTTCAATGAGAATGATGCTATTAGCACCAGAAGAGCTCCTTATCAGGTTTGTTTTTTTTACTCCCTTTAAGATGTTTGGATTCATGTTTTGTTAGTCTAATGTCGATATCTACATTGCATTCGATCTATTATGCAGGATTCATCTGGCATCTTTTGGGATAACGACAGCTTAGCTGCTCTACTAGCTTTGGAACTGAAAGCTGATCTTCTGCTTCTTCTGAGTGATGTGGAAGGTCTTTACACTGGTCCTCCTAGTGATCCTGACTCTAAGCTGATCCACACATTCATCAAAGAAAAACATCAAGATGAGATTACATTTGGCGACAAGTCAAGGCTAGGAAGAGGTGGCATGACTGCAAAAGTGAAAGCTGCGGTGAATGCAGCTTATGCTGGGATCCCTGTCATCATTACCAGGTGTGTGCACGATTATACTCATATATGCACAATCTAAACTTATTTTTGTTTGGATGCAAAGTTGATTACTTTTCTTGCTTTTGAAGTGGGTTTTCAACTGAGAACATAGACAAAGTCCTCAGAGGACTGCGTGTTGGAACCTTGTTTCATCAAGATGCTCGTCAATGGGCACCGGTCACAGACTCTACTGCTCGTGACATGGCAGTTGCAGCAAGGGAAAGTTCAAGAAAGCTTCAGGTACTGATTGATCATGTCAGAAAATCTTCTCTCCCTTCGTACAGATGGCCTAAACTGTTTTGCAATTTGCTACAGACCTTATCTTCAGAAGATAGGAAACAGATTCTGTATAAAGTTGCCGATGCTCTTGAAGCAAATGAGGAAACAATCAGAGCTGAGAATGAATTAGATGTAACTGCTGCTCAAGAAGCTGGACTTGAAGAGTCATTGGTGGCACGCTTAGTTATGACACCTGCGAAGGTAAGCCAGTATTCGTGGTGTGGTGCCTCTCTTTATGACTTAATTGTGTTTTCTAATGCTTCCTTGTTTTGTGGTTGATAGATCTCGAGCCTTGCAGCTTCAGTTCGTAAGCTAGCCGATATGGAAGATCCAATAGGCCGTGTTTTGAAGAAAACTGAGGTATTCAGAGGATAGTTGTTATCATATGATCAGTTTTAAATTCTAGGAGTACCCTCCTTGCTGAGATATAATAGTTGTTTATGGTGTTTTTTCTTTGTTATAATGGTTTTTGCAGGTGGCAGACGGTCTTGTTTTAGAGAAGACCTCATCACCATTAGGCGTACTCCTGATTGTTTTTGAGTCCCGACCTGATGCACTTGTCCAGGTATGTTAAAGAGAATCAATGTCCTTTCTCTTCTGAACATATGAATTTGCTGAAGCTTTCCTTTACTCACAAACCAAACAGATAGCTTCACTTGCCATCCGTAGTGGAAACGGTCTTCTACTGAAGGGTGGAAAAGAGGCCCGGCGGTCAAATGCTATCTTACACAAGGTACAGCCCCTTAGATTTTATCATTATATGGCTTCCTCAAAGTTACCCCTTAAGCTCTTTTAATTCACTTAATTTCATGGTAATTTTTTAGGTGATCACTGATGCAATTCCAGAGACTGTCGGTGGTAAACTTATTGGACTTGTGACTTCAAGGGAAGAGATTCCTGATTTGCTCAAGGTAAACTGAGTTACAAAAACTTGGAGCTGCAACAAGTCTTTATATCTTTTGTTAAACTTGAATCCACCGTTTGCATTTGTGCTACAGCTTGATGACGTTATTGACCTTGTGATCCCAAGAGGCAGCAACAAGCTTGTTTCCCAGATAAAAAGTACTACAAAAATCCCTGTGCTAGGTCATGCAGGTATGGTTTCAACGTTGTTACTCCATAGTATTCTTTAGCAGGAGTGGTGATAACGTAACCGTGTATTTCTAGATGGAATCTGTCATGTATACGTCGACAAGGCATGTAATGTGGATATGGCAAAGCGCATAGTTTCTGATTCAAAGTTGGATTACCCAGCAGCCTGCAATGCTATGGTAAGAGAACTTTTACCTTCCCTCAAGGTTTCAGTATTGCAGTGGTCTTTTTTTATTACATATTCTCTGTCTTTTCAGGAAACGCTTCTTGTGCATAAGGATCTAGAGCAGAATGCTGTTCTCAATGAGCTTATATTTGTTCTACAGAACAATGGTAAGTCATAAATGGGCTATTTATTTGCCTGGCTGCTGTTACTATTTATTTGAACTCTTACCTTCGATTTAGATGTGTCATATACATGACATACCCTCAATATACTCATGAGTTATATAATTTAACTGCAGGAGTCACTTTGTATGGTGGACCAAGGGCAAGTAAAATACTGAACATACCAGAAGCACGGTCGTTCAATCACGAGTACTGTTCCAAGGCTTGCACCGTTGAAGTTGTAGACGACGTCTATGCTGCTATTGATCACATTCACGGACATGGGAGGTAGAAACTTGAACCATAACAGACATTTTCATTTGTAATCATGTGCATCTTATGCTGGAAATGTTCACTATTTTGATCTTGTCTTGTATGTGGTTCTGAGCAGTGCACACACAGACTGCATTGTGACAGAGGATCACGAAATTGCAGAGCTATTCCTTCGCCAAGTGGACAGGTAAAATACAAAATCATGAACTTACTTAGTCAATCTCTTACTTTGATCATGTTGGTAACTGACTTTAAGCTATATGCATCATTGAACAGTGCTGCTGTGTTCCACAACGCAAGCACAAGATTCTCGGATGGTTTTCGATTTGGACTTGGTGCTGAGGTTGGAATAAGCACAGGAAGGATTCATGCTCGTGGCCCAGTCGGAGTTGAAGGATTACTTACAACAAGATGGTACAGTTTTAGTTTCATAGCTTTCTGTGAATATTCTTTGTGAATTGGTTATGTAAGAGTATGAATGGTTGTGGTTACAGGATAATGAGAGGAAATGGACAAGTTGTGGATGGAGACAATGGGATTGTTTACACTCATCAAGACATTCCCATCCAAAATTAAAAGTCTTTGTGTGTTTGTGTTGAGACTTGAAGAGAGGAGAGGAGGAGAGGAGAGGATGTGCTTTTTGTTTCCTCTCTGCCAACATCATATCCTATTATTATTGTTATCGAAACCCTCCCTTGTGAAGTGGTTTTGATTTAGGGTTTAGAGTTTGCACCAAAAATAAATTTCTGTTTTACCACTTGGTCTTTGCTCATAAGTAAGATGATGAATGTTTTATTAGCTTCTCTTCTTTGTCCAACAAAAGAAAAAAAAACTCGTTGTAAGGCTACCTACACCTTTCTTATTTATCTGGAATCTTTGGATTTTGAGTTTGAATCTGCATTGTGATTATAAGAGTCTCATTTTTCCATCAATGGCAGTCTCATCCGGAAAAGCCATACAGCTTGAAACTCAAGGCGAAGCCACTCTTCTTGGTAACAGTTCACATCAAGACTAGTCATGCGTACTACAACTTTACCATGTTCCCCCTTGGCACTATTTAAGTACTCAAAAAAGAAACAAAATAATATTCAACTGAGAACTGTTTTGATAAGTTACAAAAAAATGGAGACAAAACACCAAATGACTTAAGACTCTAACAAAAATAGATATACAGCATTTTGTTTATACTTTATTCAAAGCCAAAGAAGAATAACTGAAGCACAAAGTTTGAGAGATAAAATACACAAAAAAAAACAAAAAAAGTTCCCACATAGATGATAATCACATAACTATCTCAGGCTTCAAGATGTTGGATTTGATCTCCTTGTGTGGCAAAACAACCCCTCCATTGGTGTATATCTCATCTCCCACATGAACATCTTCCCCCAAGATCGTCATGTTCTCAATCCTAGCCCACTGTCCAACCGTTGAATGCCACCCAATGATACTGCTCGAGACACACGCATGCTTCTTGATCCTCACCCCACGCATGACAGTGCACCGTGAAAGCCTAACCCCTGACTCAACAACGCAGCCTGGACCAATGGCCACATCTGGTCCTATCAAACATCCTTCCCCAATCTTAGCGGTTTCATCCACCAGAACGTTACCAACAATGTGTGCACCAGTGGTTAGCTTGGCAGGAGATTTCTTTCTCAGAGAGTCTAAGTAGAGTCTCAGGCCTGTGATGTAATCACGAGGTTGTCCAATGTCCATCCAGAATCCAGGTAGCACCATGGCATAGAGCCCTTGAGCTGCTGCAATCTTGGGGAAAGTCTCTTTCTCGATAGATGTTGGTCTTAGCTCAATCTTGTCGAGAACAGATGGGTTCAGAAGGTAAATCCCAGCGTTGATTTTGTTACCTACAAACAGTTTTGGCTTTTCCACAAACTTCTCTACTTTTCCTGTAGCTTCATCCATGACCACAACTCCATACTTAGACGGTTCATCAACCTGTAAAACCAATATGCACATACACATTAGATTAACAAACATAACTTATCACATTAGATCAATGTTCAATAAATTGCTAGGCGGTAACTAGACTTCATTGAAGACTAACAATGAAGCCTAGGTGGGGTCTATACATTAATAAATTGTTGATTTATTTGTTATATACATTATATTTTAGTTTCTGGATTTAATTGATGAAATTATTTTAATAAAACCTATATAAAAAAATAAACTAGACAAATTTTTGGATTTGTACTAATATTGTTTAATTTAACAAATTTAGACTAATTTGATTGATTTAAACCAATTATAGCCAATCTAAAACGGTTTAACCGATTTGATATGCATAAACGGATTCTAAAGAAAATCGTTTCAGGCGTCTAGACTGATTTTTAGAACATTGCAATAGATCATTAGGTAGGATAAGCTCACCTTTGTCACCATTATGGAAGCTTCCCCACCATGACCTTTGTGAAACTCAATCATTTCTCTGAGTGGGTACTCACTGATCACATCACTGTTGAGAACAAAGAAAGGCTCTCCAGATCCATCAACCAGTTTGTCTCTAGCTAGAGCCAGTGGACCAGCAGTACCCATAGGCTCAGTCTCTTGTGAGCAAGTGATTTTGATTTCAAGCTTTGCCTCAAAGTCCTTCAAGAAGTTAAGCATCACCTCTGGTTGGTAATTGATGGCCAAAACAACTTCATCAACTCCAACTGCCTTAAGCGCCTCTATCTACAAAGAACACATGCTTCAGTTAAAAAAACTAGCAGAACCTTACCTAGTTTGGAACAGAGGATGATCGTTAAGTTACCTGATGAAGGATCATGGGTTTGTTAGCGAAATCAACAAGGGGCTTTGGGAAACTGAGAGTCAATGGTCTCAAGCGAGTACCGAACCCTCCAACAAGGATGAGAGCCTTCATCTTGATGAAACTGAACTCCTTTTTTTTTTCCTGTAGATTCCAAAGCTAGATCTTAACAATGTGGCTATAAGATCTGAGAGTAAATCAAGTCTAAACTACATTGTTTGAATCCATAATAACCTTATGGAATTGGCTAAAGAAGACATGATGGTGAAACAGAACACAAAAACGTTCATTATAATGTAATGAAATGTCCAATGCTATAGAAGCAACACAAGAGAGACAATACAGCAGTTCAGATCCACACAAAAAAACACAATAGATCAAAGCAGATACAAGAAAAAAAAAAAGAGAAACTAAGATCAGACAAAGCTAACCCCTTTGTCCAAAATTCAGCTTCTTAATCAGACAAGAACATCATCTCAAACCCAAATGTTTGCATCACGTCACTAACATAATCAAAAATCTCAGCTTTAAACCCAGATCGGTCGTCATCATATTGAAGATTAAACCCATATCAATGAATCCGCAAAAACCCACCAGAATTCAGACCACAAAAGGACATGCAAGATCACGTGGAGAGTAAAGGAAGAGACTTTAGGCATTACCTTGGAAGAAGAGATCTCACCGGAGAGATCGAGAGATCTGAGAGAGAGAGAGAGTTTGGGGTCACAGGCTGAGCTGTGATGATGAGGAGAGGAAAGGAAAGAGCTTTGTTGGCAAATTATTTATCAAAGGATACACATTTGTTATATACACATTACAAAATGGGTGTTTATTTAACAAAGGGCACCGTGAAGATAACGAAAAGAGTGCGTATTTTAATTATCCCTTTATTAAAATACAAATTAATTGTGAAATTATAATTTTACATGTTACCTTTGACTTTCTTTTTATTTGGTGGAGAAGTAAAGGTCCAACGTCGCGTAAGATGCTGTAACAATTCTAAACTCATATCCCAAAATGCAACGAGAATATTCTCTTTTGTTCCACAAAATGTTTTGGGATTTTTATTAGAGAACAGATTTTCAATTACAGATGAGTACTTACTTACCTATTTTATTTAGACTAGTTAAAATAATTACTACTTCAAAAATTAATTCTTCGAAATTTATAATATGAGAAACTATTTTTGGTATTATAAATTTATTTTAAAATAGGAAAATATTAAAAATTCATGTTTATATAATGGAGGGAGTAATTTTTAAGAGCTATATATAAAATAAATACTCCCTGCATTTCATAATATATGATGTTTTGGTTTAGGATAAAAACACTTTTAAAGATATAATTTTAAAATTATTTAACCAATTATAAAAAATTATAAAAATTTATTGGTTGAACAGTTTTTAATAAAATTAAAGTTAAACTTAAGACCTCAAAACAACTTATATTTTAAAGATATTATTTGCTCCAACACTATAAATTACCTCCTAATTACAAAATGCCTATGATTTGACTCTTTCTATTTTAATGACCAAAATGCTCTTCTGCTTCTCTCTTTCTACACTACTAGACATGTCAGTCTACCAATTTTTTTTTAACTCTCTCTCTTACTCTCTCCTTCATCTCCTCTTAGTTATCTTTTCCTCTCTCATTTCCTTTTTAAATCTTCTATATGTTTCGTTTTTGTTTTCTTTAGTTTTGTCTCATCTATTTTTCTAATTATTTTCATTTGTATGTTTTTTAGTGTCGTTTTTATTAAAGAAAATATTATATCTATATTTATTATATTTGTTAAAGTTATAACTAAAACTTATGTTAACACATTACAAATAACACTGAGCTTGATATCAAATAAGTATCTTAACATATAGTTTATAAAGTTAACATTTGTGACATGTTAACCAACTTTTGTATCTTGTTTCAAATTTTATATCTTGTTACAAATTTTGTTTACTCACTAACATATTTTGTAGATGTTAACAGATGTCTTATCCGTTAACAAATACATCTAACATAGTTGCTAACAGATGTGTTAAGTGTTAACAACTTTGTAGATGTCAATGCATGCGTTAAGTATTATGTTAACAAATAAATATTGTTAAACTTTCAATTTGTTTCTCGAAATGAGTAAATTTATCAAGTAACAAAACAAGTATCAGTTAACAAATGAGTTAACCGTTAACAATTAATCTAACACTAATATCGAATTTATAACTAATTATCGATTTATGTTGAAATTTTGTAATTAATTGTAATTTATGTTTTCAATTATATCAGATGTTAAATTATTTTGTCTATTATAATATTTTTATATTATACATTCAAAAATATTATTATTTGATAATATTTTTAGTATTTAAGAAAATCTAACAACACATGTAGACAACATGTCTCTCTCCTATCTCCTGACATTTCTCTGTTACCAGCAGAAGCCTTTTCAGTTAAAGAAGAGCATTTTAGACATTTCCAAACATAATTATATGATTTGGATCATTAATGTTCATCAATGGGCAATTCTCTAATATGAGTCTCAATTAAGGGTATTATGCTAGTTGTCTCTATTTTGAAACAACATAAATTTTCTAAAATATCATATAATTTGAAATGAAAAGAGTATATTTTATATCATTACTGACGTTTTTTTTTTTGTAGAATTTTCTTTTTGTGAATTTGAAATTCTTTGTAGATATTTATAAAAACTATACTCTTCTGAAATAAAGGTTTTATTTTGTTAGCTAGTTTATTCATTCCACAAACTAACTTTTCAATATAGATGTGTGCGTCTGTGGTGTGAAACCGTTCATTATCAATCAACGTGTATATCATGTCTTATTCTACCAAAAAAAAAGTATATCATGTATTCATAGTAATATATCAAAATGATGTTTGAACACTAGCGCATTTTTTGATCAAAAAAAAAAACACACTAGCGCATTCAACATGATAATGTCATATCATAACTTTCTAATAAAGTTCAGTACTTTGATTTACTACATTTACGTGAATAATTAATTAAGCGACTACTTAACCGAAGCTCTGAATGGTAATATACGAGACAATAATGGTCTAAGTGCAATACGATTCAAATAATAACAAAATGCATATATATATATATATATATATATATATATATATATATAGATTTTTGTTACAATTCACAATAGTGTAGGATGAGACGGTTGGTTACCATTTGAAGTCTGACTCCACATAAAAAAACTCGTACAGAAGTGTAAATACTTTGGCTCTGAACTCAAAAAGTTTTGTTTTCTACTCTTTTCCCGACATCAAAAGAAGGAAAATAAGCTCATATCAATCAAAAACTTAGATGGCAATCCCCATGTTATATAGTAAACTAAGCTGAGTGGACTAGATTTGTAAATCTATTTGTAGCCTAGATTTTGAAGAATATGCAGATTCTATTTCGATACGCAGCACCCACTCATTTATAAAAGAAACATTTACATTGTGTAATGTCTCTGCACTGCGGGCCAATCATTTAGATAAGAGCTAAGCTGCGTGGCAAAGGTTGTGAACACTAAAGCAGAGCTAAGATAGAATATACCTAATTTGATCCATCACATGTATCACACTCCCTTTTCAATTATTGTTTGCTTGTTGTCTTCATCTTAAAATTTTAAATTCATGTGAATCTTTTATAGTTTACGTTCTACCCCACGTGACATGACATGTTACCTTTAGCTTTCTTAACTTTCGATTTTACAAATACAGCGGTGCAACCGACATATTACCTTTGTTATTTGTCTTAATACTTCGTTAGTTAATATATATAAAGTATTTAGAAGAAACTGATTTGTCTATTTAAAGCATCAAATATGTTCATAGCTTGTTTTATATCACTATAATGTGTCTACATAATCTTGTTTCATCATTTAACTTATAGAAAGCATACTGTGTATGATTATATATGTTTAGAAATCTTGTTACATCAGTTGAGTTTTGTTTCTCTTGTACATGTTACATGTTTAAATTGCAGCACATAAATAAAGATCACAAACTTTAGGAGAATCTTGCATAAGTTGTAAAAACTATACTAGGTATAAAATATATATTTTTTACTACTTAATTGCTTTTAGCTTCATTTAAAACCCTCTATGAAGTCATCAAAACTTTATTTTGTATAACCAGAAATTGAAAGAGAAAAACATTTTTGCACGAAAAGATACATCTAGAAGAAATTTAGAGGTCTCATGGCTTCTCATAAATCCCATTGACTGAAATGAAAGGAACTAAAAGTCTTACACATTCTAAAGAAAAAAATATTCTAAAAAATAAGTGTTACAATCCCCTTGCAATTATCAAAAACTTCCAAACATTGACCGTGACAAGATTCGTTTCTGTCCATCTCTAGTACATGTCACAGTAACCAAACTAAATCCAAAATCCGCAATAATTCTAAGCAGTTTAAATGTTTTACGGAAAAAGAAACACAAATCTATATGCTCTAATTAGTTCACTTTGTCAACAGAATCAAGAGTATGTATTCTAATAATTAGTTTTCAGTTTGTCAAAATATCCAAGTAGCTTACGCTTGACATATCAATAAGTCGCCATATATATAGATTGATTTTGATTTACGAATAAAAGTTACTTATTTCATACTATTTTGATAATAGTCATCTAATGTTGAAGGCATGGTCCACTTTCAACAAACAAATGCTACCATCAAACGCGCCGCTAACGCACAGAGACGCGGTAGCCCCCGTATACATAAACACACGTTAACAACAATACCGTACATTTTATAATTTTGGTTTCATACAATAACAACATAGAAAAGTCAAAGGTCAAACGATTAAAATAGATGTAAAAAAAGGTGCCAAAAGAAGTTGTGGAAATACACCAAATCAGTGTCAAGAAGTAACGAGTTAGGCAGCCCCTTGATTTCAGCTTAAACCCACCGACATATTCCCATAGATTCTTTAATTTCTTCTATAACCCGTATTTATTTGTAATATATATACTAGGATAAGACCCGCGCCTTGCGCGGAATGAAACTATTATTTTTATTATGTTTTGAAAAATGAAACAATAGTTCGGTTTCATTCGGATTAGAGGTGTTCAATCCGGATATCGGATTTCGGTTCGGCTCGATTTTTTGGTATTTTGATTATTAAAATATAACTACTATTCTAAATCTATATGTACTTCAGTTTGATTTGGTTTATATACCATCGGTTTTCAGTTTATTCAATTTTATACCAAAAACATGATTATTTAGTTTGAGATCATATTATATGATCATATTTAGAGTCATATTGTCACATAGTCAATTATTTAAAAAATATTATATATTTAAATAAAAGAATTAAAAACAAAAAGGCTTCTATCATCTAATAAAATGATCAAATCTAGAATTAATATCAAAACACTAAATTTTGAAAATAAAAATAAAAAAAACAGAAGCATGAAAGAAAAGTTTTTATATTCTTCCATATTTAATGTTCATCAAACCAATATGTCTTCGATTGAACACAGCTCTGTTTGTTTAAAGATCAAAAAAGTTGTAAAGAATTTCAACTAATTGTTGTCTATCAAATTTATAATCTTTACTTCAATTTAGTTACTGTTAAAAAAGAAAAAGATCAAAATAAGAAGTCTAAATTGTAATAAATTGTTAGCTATTTACAAATTATAATTATAGTTCAACTCATGTAACAAATAGATATTCATGCGTCGTTATAAATATATACATANATCAAAATAAGAAGTCTAAATTGTAATAAATTGTTAGCTATTTACAAATTATAATTATAGTTCAACTCATGTAACAAATAGATATTCATGCGTCGTTATAAATATATACATATTTACATGTTTCCGTTTAATCGGTTATAAATCAAACCATATCCAAATCCTATGGTTTTTATAAAATCACATTCATTCGGTTTGTATAATATATACCAAAAATAACCATATTATCGATTGTCAATATCTTTTAAAAATATAAAATTAAAAAACTAAGATATTTAAATCATTGATAACAAAAAATTTCAATGTGAAAAATTTAATAATTTAATAATTTATAAATGTTCTTGAATTTATTGAGGATTCTGAAATTAAAATATTTATGTAATCTTATATGGTATATAGTTTAATCTGTATATATATTTGTTTTATTATTGAATGATACTTTTTACTTATATGGTTTTAAAATCATGTATATCTTTTTATAATAAAAATATTAAACTATTGATCATTAATTTTTAACATAATAATTTTAATAGTTTAGTTATTTATTCTTGTTTTTTAAAATTCAAAATATAACCTATACGAAAAAATCTAAAGTTTAATTTTATAGCTAATTTGATTGTTTAATTTATTTTAATAATATAAAATTAAAGAAAAATGATGGAGGATATATAAACTGTTATCAAATATTTATTATTAGAATCATTAAGTGTCATATATATATATTAGTCATTTATGGTAATTCCGTAGGTTTTATNATACGAAAAAATCTAAAGTTTAATTTTATAGCTAATTTGATTGTTTAATTTATTTTAATAATATAAAATTAAAGAAAAATGATGGAGGATATATAAACTGTTATCAAATATTTATTATTAGAATCATTAAGTGTCATATATATATATTAGTCATTTATGGTAATTCCGTAGGTTTTATTTATGGAAAGAAAATAAAATATTAATATATCTAGGGGAACAATCATAAATGCTTCTATCATAAATATCATATCATATAATTTGACCAACAAATGTATATAGCGAAATATAAAAATCGAATTTGGACCTACTTATTTTTCAATTGAATGTAATTGATTAACTAATTGAGTGACACCTAAGCATGAAGTCTTTTTTAATTATTACAAAATTGAGGTTACAATTTTTTAAATGTTTCTCATTTCTTAAAGAAATTTTTTCTTCTGCCTTATTAGGTCGAATGAAATAGTAGGTGATAGTATTAATAGGTAAGGGGGCTTCCATAATTACTATTAATATTTACGATTTGCATATATTAATTTTTACATAAATTCCGAAGTTAACATATTAAGTTTTACATTTTACATATACACTTGCCTTTACCATTAAGTTTGAACTTGGTCACAAAGTATTTTTCATTTTACATATACACTTCCATAAATTAAAAGGAATGAAGTTATTATAGTTAATATATGCAAATCGTTATCAATTACCTACTATAATTATGATTTCGTATATTTTCCTTTTCTTCCATGGCATGTATTAATGTGTCAAATATAAATTCATATATTTAATGAAGCCGGTTACATGGGATATATATATATATTAATGTAAATTCTGTTACATGCGTCTCTAATTATTTTTCTCTAGCAAATTTCAATTGAACCTAAAGCTGCCACGTCAGTTTAATTGATATGCTAATTGATTGACAACTAAGCAAGGTTACTTTTTAATTATTACAAACTTGAGGTTACATCTTTTCAAATGTTTCTCAATTAATATATAGGGGATATATATCAATATAACTTTTCTAAAGAGTATTCCTCACTTCTGTCTCTTATTCTAAACCTTGTGTCGCACGCCTCCTAATTACATCATAATATTATTTTATAAATGGTTTTAGACCAAAAAGTAAATAGACTTTGGGCCTCAAAACAATATTTTTTTCCGGGCTGCTACAACCTATTGATATTTAATACAGGTTTATTTTGTTAAAGAAGTTGGGTATATAAAAGAAACTGATTTACTTATTTCACAAGAGAGAAAATAAAAGAAAAAACCCTAGACCTTGCATTTCAAGGTATATTCAGCTGACAGAAACAGAGATATCATGGCCACTTCAACGATGGGAGGAGCAACAAGAAAAAGACTAACTCCAGAAGAAGAGAAAAAGAGAGACGAACAAGACCAGATGGTTACTGCTGATTTTGCTTTAAGCCACTTTATGTTTTTGCGCGACAGAATCCAAGCTGGTGATAGTGAAAATCATCCCTCTAAGAAAAGAAATCACCACGAAAGATGATACCGAAGAAACCCTAGAGTTACTCCTCAGATGGACCAGTGATCCACCAAAAGAACTACACAAAGCGACCATGGCAGTGTTGGGACGATGCAGCAAACCGATAAGGAGGCAGTTAACAAAGAGCGACGTGAAGGTAGATCAAAACAGGCTTATGCTAGGTCAAGTGCAAGTGGAGAAAAACTTTTTACCTTTTCTTGAAGAGTCAGATACTCTGCTTGGGAAAGAGGGAATTAAGGTTTCGGTGTACGGACCAGACGGGAAGGTTCATGAGACGATGTTCAAGATGTGGAACGAGAAGACACCTGTGTTGACGTCAGGATGGAACACGTTTGTGAAAGAGTATCAACTCAGTATGTATTGTGATTTTCTAACGGTTTTGATGTTTAGGCACAAGGAGACTAGTGAGATTTGTGTCTCTATTGACTTCACTAGGCAACATGTAGTGAGACAGTTGAGTGAGAGGATCTCAAAGATTGTCTTCAAAGTTGAGGATTAGGATTTTTGAAATAGAGTGTGACTTTTTAGGATTGATTAGGAGTTTTTTTTCTCCAAGATGAAACTGTTAGAAGATTATTGGGTTTCATGTTTTTATTAGGAACTAATTTATGAGATTTTATACGAAATGAACAGAGTTTTATTTCCAACACCGGTTAATTATGCTATTATAAATTACTGTCGACATACCAAATCATTCCATTACAATAAAACTCTAGTAAAACCAGATTTGGTGTCTGTTTTGCTTCCAGATCAGTAAATTAAGCTTACTTGAGCAATGTTTTATTGGAAATGGATCGACCCCTATATCCTCTTCCTCAGTTGCCTAGCATGTGTATCAATGGCTAACACACTACTCACAGGTCTTTTCTTGCTTTCTAGTCCACTCGTAGAGCTCTTATCCCCAGCTGCAAACGTGCTCAGTAGTTCAGACAACATAGAGGGACAGCTCTGGTTCAAGTGCTTGAACCCTTCAGACTTCATTACAGCTGGCATCAAACACACACATCACTACTTTTTAGTTTTTACTGGATTCTCTTCAGCGGTTAAAATCTATCTGTCCCGCAAAATAAAAAACTCCACCATATTTGACAAAACATATCCATATTTACTGGTTTCAGTTAAGTTTAGCAAATGTATGTACTGATACTCAACATTAAGACCAGGACAACGATAAGTTACCCATATGGCTAGACACTCTAGACTTTAAACTGGTTTGGTCTACAAAACTAGTCGATAAAAAACTATTTTCGCACCTACCTAGTTGAGGATGATAAACTTCAGGCCGTCTAATCAAACATCGAGTCTCCTATATCCAAATTGAACATAAGACAAAAAAAACTTATACTTCAGTATACTAGCAAGACAGACTATAAGCAACATAACGAACTAGCTCACATAACTTCGGTTTATAATAATACATTACACATCTGTAATGAATAATTATTGTAACAAGCACCACATGTCAGTGACCAAATGCATTATACGCACACTGAAAAAAGTTAACTAAATTAATAGTATGTATAAACAATGATATAAACGACATATAAAAACAAAGACTAAAAAAAAACACAGAAACTTTCAATGATTAAAATAACAACACTCACCTCGCAAATTTCCTGGAGATGCAACAAATTTTAAGCAGAAAGTTTTGAGCTCTACCAGTTGGTGCTGTTCAGCCAGTGCAAGCGTTGTTGCCACATTATCAACATTTAGTTTTTCACATAGAAAAACTTCACACAACACCTTTAACCTTCCAAGGTCATAGAGGTCAGCAGCTGCCAAGAGATGCTGCATCATGTTCGTGAATGAAGTGGCAGAAACTGACCCCGTAATCTCGTGCACATGAGGAAGTACATCGGTGTAGATGAAGCTAAGCATTGCCTATAAAAAAATCCAAATCCAAAGTCAGTAAAAATATCCATCCACAATGTGATATTGAACATAACATTACCTTAAAGATAGAAGGCTCGATGTCCTCTATCACTATCCTATCCACGTTGTTATTCCCAATTGGTCCATAGAACTGAGCTCTGAAAACTGGCGAGTGTGCTGCGAGGATCAGTTTGTGAGCTTTGTAAGTCTCATCTCCAACTTGGAAAGCAACGTCACAGCCAACTTCTGAATCTAGCAAGTCTTTCAATCCCTGACCCATATCCGAGGAGGGAAGCGCAATGCCAAACTGTTTCGGACCTTCAAGCCTGGCTCTGACAACGCCAACGGTACAATTGATGATAAGACAGTCATCCTTCAAGTAGTCGGAGGATTCTAAAGCTGTTCGTCTTAAAAAGCGTTTGTAACCCCTGAAACTCTTTATGATAAGTCATGTTAGAAGTAGATCTCATTGTAAACGGAACTATGTGATGTAGTTCAATGGAAATAACTCACTGGAAAAACTCAACAAATGATGCAGAAGACGAGTTTAACTATATAATTACAAAACACATGCACAATGTTCCCTAGTTCTGAAGTGTTTCGGACATGAAACCAAGAACAACAGTACCCTTCTTCAAGCAGGAGACACACATTGCAGAAATGAATCGGACAAGAAACAAGTAACAACATGCAATTCAAACAGAAGATAAACATTACAGAACCAGAACTCAACAAATGATGCAGGAGACGAGTAAAACTAAGTCATTACAGAACACATGCATAATCTTTTCTAGTTCTGAAGTGTTTCGGACATGAAACCAATAACAACAGCTCCTTTCTACAACACCGACATGCAATTCAAGCAGAAGACAAACACTACAAAAGTGCTTCGGACATGAAACTAATAACAGTCAGGTCTGGTCCTGATCACAACTAGATGAAACATTCACATTAATCCTCAAATTTAATATATATAGAGACTAATACTAAAATGTTTATAAGCCTCCAAAATCTGACAAGAGTTCCCTTCTTCAAGCAAAAGAAAAAACATTACAAAAGCGCTTCGAACATGAAACCAATAACAAAATTTCCCTTCTTCACCAAAAAGACAGACATTACAAAACTGATGATTCAATAAATAAAACCAATAACAAAATTTCCCTTCTTCACCAAAAAGACAGACATTACAAAACTGATGATTCAATAAATAAAACCAATAACAAAATTTACCCTCTTCAACACCACCAACATGCAACTCAAACATTACACAACTGATTCAGACATAAAAAACCAAAAAACACCAAAAAATCAATTCAAACATTACAAGCACCAGAAAAACTCACCACATACTCCCTTTATACTTAAGCGTATAAGGACCACCTTCAAGCGCCCGATCAAAGTGACTATGAACCTTATGCCTCCCTCTACCACTCTGATCCATCAACGTCAACTCAAACAATGCCCTAATGTCACTCGAATCACTCGCGAGAGCGATGAACAGAGACACGTACGTGGAGTTATCCTCGGGATTCTTCCCGTCAGGGTAAAAGTAAATCACCCAATCGTATCCGGCGATGGAGAAGACGTCGCTCTGAATGTATCTCCCTGGGCTCATGCCTTTGGCTAGAGAGTAGCCTTTGATCGTGAACTGGTGTGATCCGTTCACGGTTTCCATGACTTTTGTGGAGACGGAGTCTGGATTTGGGTGATCCGTGACGGTGGTGGTGGTCATGATCGCCGGAGGGTTTAGGGATTTGGTGGAAACTCCATGGAGAGGAGATTGGTAACCTAATTTATATTAGACGATTGGGGTTTGCTTGTGGAACGGAACTGTGGGGAATTTGGGAGAAAATGTTGTAGGGGTTATGTTAGTTCGGGTTATTTGGTTTAGTTGGTTCGGTTCGGTTTAAATGTTACCCGAATTAACTCGGTATAAAGTTTGATTTGGTTTGGTATGGGATTCATTTGATTTTGAAATTTTTTTCCGAGCATAATCAAAGTTTTTGTTATTTCATTTAGATTTTGGTTTGATTTGTTAGATTTTGGTTTCTTTTTTTTCTTTGATTTACAGGTATTGCAAGACGTTCAATATAGCTAAGGCTAGAAATGCCTTGGATGTCATCAAGTCATATGGATTGGTTCCGAGCTCTGTGGGTTAATAAATTTTGCATATGATTTCTCTACAGAAGAAATACACTCACCCAGAGGTAAATCCTCAACTTCTCTTTCAAATTATAATATTTTTTCTCTTCCGCATTATCGGTCTACAATTTCAAATCATTCAGGATGCCTATCGTTGCAAAAAATGTATGTTTTGATCTTCTTTATCTTGTTTTTGCAGTAAATATAGTTCTTGGCTTTTTTTTGTCTTTCTTATTTTACGCATATATCTGACTTCCTGAAGAATCGTTTCCCCTCCGCTTATTGTCTGTTTCGCTTCCTTTTGATTATCAATACACATTTTAGATGTTGTTATGTTTTGATTCTCAGGTGGAGCAGATGCATAAGATCTTTAAGCTTTGTGGTTCACCCTCAGAAGATTACTAGAGAAGAGAAATCACTACAACAAGTTTTAAACCAAGTCATCCTTATAAGAATGTTTTTGCTGAGACCTTCAGTCATTTCCCTGCATCAGCTATGACACTCATAAACAAGCTACTGGCCCGAGAAACGTGGCTCATCTGCTTCTGCATTGAGAAGCGAAGTAATATACTGATACTAACCCTAAATCTATGCTTATTTTACAAGTTATTAGATGCATTCTCATGATCTGTTTTAAAACTTTTGTTCTATTCAGTTCTTCACAACGGAAACACTACCTGCTAATCCATCAAACTTACCTAGATACTCACCAAGCAAGGAACTTGACACTAAGCTTCGAAATGAAGAAGCAAGAAAGTAAGGCATCTTCAGTTCACTGTTCTTTCTCTCTTGGGGGTCTTTTCTTAATAAAGTTTGGGTTTGCAAAGGATAAAAAGAGAAGAGTAGGAGAGACAGTGACAAGGGAGCGAGGAAAAGGTCTTAAAACTGCACAGACACCTGAGTTCATAGCTGCAGGGCAGTCCAAGGTCACGTGTATCAGCCATAAGTTCAAAACAGACGAGGAAGGTGGCACATGGTTTAGGATTGAACCACCTAGAAAAGGGATCCAGCAGAATGGCTACGCTCATGTTTCTACAATGGTTCACCCAAGTGTTGCTAATAAGAATGGAACAGTGGAGGAAGCATCAAAAGACAAACTAACGCAGAGCAAAGATAACACAAACATGAGACTTGTCTGGTGATTCTTTTAGGAGAAGTTCCAGCAGATATTACTCAACCATAAGCCTCGAAATTCCTTTCTAGAGTTTTTTTTAACCTTACGAGTAATCTTTTAGACTTGGGTTATAGCATTATCGTTTACTTTGACATGCTCTTATAGGTGTAGTTGTTGGAAGATAATTTTCTCTTTTGTATAAATGGTTCTTGTCGTTACATTATCTGATTTATTGTGTGAGTACCCCCAGCTTCTAGGATTAAAAATTAAAGAACATTATATGGATTTTGTATCAGTAATGGAGACATTAATTATGGTTGTGGTAACGTACTGTATACATTGCCTTCTTGTGTGATATTGACAACATATGTCAATGGGACCATCACAAAAATTGTCAACATCACAAACATTGTCAACGGATATCTTAACAGCAATTTTATAAGCATTGCACATACTTACTTCATGCAGCTTTGGAGGTGGAGCAGCATAGAGTTGATACCATGGAAGAGAAAAAAAAGAGCTTTTGTCAATAAGAGACCTCTACATGATCATCTCCATCTCCAATGAGCAGGTAACACTCATTCTTTAAACATACTTTAGTACTCTTATGTTGTTTCAGAATAGACTCAACTAAGGTTAGCTCTGTTGTCCTCCTTAGGACACATGAAGCTGGTTTTTCTTTTCAAGGCTCAGACTGTTGGTGTCTTCCAACAAAAGAACTGGTCCTTTGTTTCTTGCACCAGTTGCAGCAGGAAGCTTACAAAATCAAATACTTTCTTCTATTTCAACCGATGTATTTCTTCCAATGTGACAGAGTCATCGTCTAAACTGTTATTCCCGATCCATTTTAAAAGTAACAACATAATATAAATATCTTCTAACCATTCACGTCCTCTAAATCTAGATTCTGTGCTGAACTAGCTGATGATTACTGAAAGGACGGTGCCATTTTTGTGTTCTTCGACAGCCAGATGACAAATCTCATCAAGGAAGAGGCAGCAAGTCTGGCTCTTGAAGAGGTACGTTTTTCTTTCAAATTCCTCTTAAATTTGGCTTGTAATTGGTTTTCTTACTCTAAAGCCCCCACAAACCCCCTACCTAATTCGGATGAGTAGAGAAGACCCCATTAAAAAAATTGTTAGTGGTTTTGTATGTATTTTCAGTTTTAAATTAAAACAATTGTGGAAGCCCCCTTGGTCCAGTGGTTTGACTAAGGGTTCATTAACGCTTCTACACCTGGAGGTCTGGGGTTCAAACCCCAGAAAACACCAAATTATGCAGATTATGGAGAACCAAGTTACAAGAGATCTTCAGCTTGGTGCATGACGTACCATCGAACATGGATCTCATAGGACGGCTTGGAGTGATGCAATCAGACGTGTATTCTCACAAGATGGTAGAATTGTTGGCTGTAAAATCGTCTATGTAATATTCTCATCGTTGTAATAGCATAATTAATCAGACGTTAAAAAAAAAATATTAAAACAATTGACTAATGATAATAATACAAAACCACTAACAATTTTTTTTAATAAATTCAGAGAAGCATCAAACATATAATCGGATTTCTGGAATAAGCCATTTGAAGACTAAGAATAAACTCATAAACTCACCACAACATAACCCGTTCTAACCACACAAACTGACCTATGGTTTAAAAAAAAATAGACAAAACACATAATATACAATTCTACTCACACCTACTACACAGTTTCAATAACAACTTCACAAAGTACAGCAACTCCTTAACAATTTACGGTAAAGGAAAACAAAGCTAATATCTCTGCGATTGCGCGGAGCTCCGAACCTAGTATTAAGAATTGCACAATCTTTAGATAGTTTGAAAGGATCCCATCTTTATTGAAAACTTAATATATTATATACAAATTACGGATTTAAATTTGTAATTCTTAAGATATGAATGGAAGTTGTATTTTACCTTGCTTACTGGATTTACTCTTTCTTTATACCAACTTGACCTGTTAAAGAGGTTTATAGGAACCAATTTGATTTTCTCTTGCAGACCCTGAAACTCATCAATATAGGTGCCTTAAGAAGAATCTTTGGTTTTCATTTACACTCAAAGGAAAAATCAGTATGTATATTTTTCATATATACCACATTGGAAAGGGACAACACATATATTAAACTAGATAAGCTTTCAACCTAAAACCAATTGGTTTCAAGTTGGAAGTCCATAATAAACCCGAGTTTAACATGGTAACATAGTATCAGAGTCTACGAGCCATGAAGTTCAACCCGATCTTCATCGATCTGGTCCAAAGATGGTCCATCAAATTTTGTCTGAACATTTTGAAATTCACGCTCAAAGAACCATCATTTCGAGGGAGTGTATTAGACACAAAGAATCTCACATCGGTAGTTGGAAAATATTTTTAGTAGTATATAAAAGAAATGAGTCAATTCTCTACCAACTGATTTTAGATTGTAAGCTTATCTATCTTTAACAACATAGCCTAGGTTTAGTACGACCATTGATCTATTTATTTTCGATTAGCATATAGAGAATGGAATTCAAAGGTGTGTCCCATCCAACAATAAACAAAAGCTGATCCAATCACACTATGAAACCGGAGAGGACGACCCAATTAATTAGATTTATAAGATTATATAACTATCATGTTTCTCTAACGCAGATAACTTTTCAATTACAAAGACACAAATTTACATTTAAGAATGTGGCTACTTGGTTGGATTGTAAGACTTTACACAACATTATTTTTTCTACCAATTATGGTGTAGTTTACTATTACTAGGTTCATAGCCCCCGCGCAAGCGCGGGGCCGGGCACGTTGACGATGCTTTACGTAGTTTTCTGAGTTTTATATTTGTGTTTGAGATTATGAAACATTAAAAGGCATATGGTTTGATTAGTTTACTATAAAAAGACTGAAGAAATCCGATATGTTTTTTTTAAATTTTTTTGTGTGTATAGGTAGTTTTGTTTCTTATGTACATAGATTTGAATGTATAACGGAATGGTTAGTGACTGATATTTTTATTAAGTAAATATATATATATATATATATATATATATATATATATATATTTTGGTCAGAAATAAGTAAATATATATTTTGTTATGATTTTAATTTAAGTTTTAAATTTTAGTAAAAATTATAAATGTTTAGTTATTTAGTTAATTGTTGTTGGTGATAATTGGTTATTTATATAGTTAAAATTTCATAGTGGTATACATTTGGTTAGAAGTCACACATATTGATTTGAGGAGAACATTGTTTAATGTTTATTCATGAAATGAACTCCAGTTTACAGTCATGTCTATGCGAAACTGCAAACAATTTAATCCATCAAACGAAAAAGCTAAATGATTTGTATGACCAATCATCTCTTTATCCTTAAAACAAATAAAACCAAGAATTTTGTAACAGTTGAGCACATATCCAGATATAGTAGAAGCTTTCTCTAAAGGAGAGCTTCGATGTCAATCTCCACGAAAGAGCATGGATCAGTGATGTCAAAGTTTTTCAGAACCTGGATCAAAAATCAAATAATCAGAAACAAAACCGTTTGATATGCGG